CAGGGCGGGCTCCACTACCAAGAAGGCCCTCTGCCTGGTTCTCTGTAACTTTGCTTCTCGCAGTGAGGGAACTGCCAGAAGGCCCTTGGCACATCCCAAAACTAAGCAATCTGATTTGAAGAAACTGTCTCCATGTGTGAGGGCTGGGCTTGAGAAAACAACAATGAATGAAGTGTTTTTGCACACATTTTATTGATAACGCCTCTGCAAGCTTCACTCCAAACATCATGCTTGCGCAAGTGCAGTCAAGAAATTTGGGCTTGGCTCTGGAAGTTTCGCACACTTTCAAAATCCAGCAGTATGTCAAATTTGACTCAAGTGTTTCCAAATTTCACATCTTCAATGGGATTGGAGCAGCGCCTTTTCTTGTTCACCCCTTTGCCCCGTTTTTGTGTCAATATATTTTAGACTGTAAGCCTGCAGAGAGGGGGCTGTGTCCTGTTTTGCAGAAAACTGGGGGGTTTTTTTTGAAGGGCTGTCTGATCCAAGTCCAGTTTAAATATTAAGAAATCTAAGAAAGGAGAGCAGGAAGGGCTTTGATGTTGCCCGTCAATTTTGAGCGATGGTCTGCCAACCTAGCAATTTTGAGCAACACCTAGGCAGCGAACTGAGCAGACACTCAGGTCACCTGGCCACAATCTTCCCCACTATCATGAAATGAATTATATTCCTAATTCAATAAATTATAGTCGTTATTTCGAAGTTTGCACCTATACATTTGAAGCGCCATGTGCAAATGTTATGCAGATAGATGCATTCTTTTTTTTTGGGAGATGCATGTCCTCGTGTTCTCTTTAGCTACCCTGTTTGGAGAAGGGACCACGTTGTGTGTGGGGGGGCAGCTCTCTGCTCCTTTTGCCCCACTGTTCCTTCTCCTGTACTCCAAGAGACAGAGTGGTACTTGCTGGGGGGATGGGGATTCGCCTGAATGTGTTACCTGCTAGAGGTTCGCTGGGTGTATGGAACTGAATTCTTCCTGAAAACCCTACTGTGTGGGGGCACTGGGGAAGGGTAGGTTACACTCTTCCTTTCAGGGCCATCTTTACCCGGGGGTGCAAGGGGTGTGGGGCACCCGGGTGCCAAATTCTGGGGGGTGCCAGGCTGCTGCCGACTGCGCCCCAGTGGCTGTGTGGCTGGACTCCGGCGTCGCTCCAAATTTGCTCTTGCCAAATCTGGCAGAGAAGGCGGTACAGGGCCGCTCCTTGCCCCAGTGCCTTCCCCAGGCTGCTCAGCTGTGGGGCCCAGTGGCAATTCACCTCACTTCACCTTTGCAATGCCCCACCTGCCAGGCACAGCCAAGCAGGTACTGGGGTGCCACCGCCACTGTCCATGTGCACCAGGCGTGCCAGAGGAGAAGGCCCCGCTCCGCCCCCAGCATGACCAACCCCAACCCGCTGCTCTGAACAGGCAGCCAGAGAGGAAGGAGAAATGTAAGGAGCTCCACCATGCGGCCCCGGGCTGGGCTGGTCCGGGCTGCAGAGCCTGGCGCACAGAGCTGCGCTCCACATGGCTTTTCCACAGCTCCATCCCGCGCGCAACGTGGTTTTCGCCCAGGGCATGCGCGGAGGTCGCCTGGTGCTTGCCTTTCCCCAGGTGGGAATGCGGGAAGTAGTTAGTCACAAGATCATTCGTGTCAAAATTTGGGGGCGCTGGGCGGATCTTTGCACCCCGGTGGTGCATATGCTAAAGACGCCCCTGCTTCCCTTCATCCCAAACTGATGAGAGAGGCTCTGGTTATTGCAATGGGAGTGAAGATCAGGGGCATGCTAAGACTGTGGACACAGAATGGCCACTGGAACTCATCCCTGGCTTCCAACTCCAATCTTTTAGCTGGAGGTGGGACGGATGGAAGTTCTTCCTCTACCCACCACTTTGCTAGGGGCTTTCCTTAAGGACCACATTTCGTCCTGAGGTTTAACCTAACTCTTTACTCCTTGTAGGATGCTATGGTTTTGCAAAACCCATTCTCATCAGATTGTTCTCCCTCTTAATTCTCAAATCCTTTAAAAACCAGGCTCTAGACCCCCTGCCTTCTTTTCTATAGGCACTATTTGCGTTCTCACCAAGCTGAGTAGAGCCCACTGACATGGGTTTTGGCCTACCGTATGCTTGGCCACTGCAGTTTTTGCCGTCCTCAGCAGGTAGCAAAAGCAGGAAGTTTTATTACGTCTTTCCGCGGCCGAAAAAGGTGGCTAATCATAGAGCTTCCATCAGTCCCACAGTGGGAAACGGACAGGTATCTAACCTCCCACATCTCTGCCAGATACTCTTAATTGGCCCTTTTACATGCAATAGCTTGGATTTTCAGGATTTTATACCAGGCGGATGCTGAGATATTAGCCATGTCACTGTGGACATGTAAGATTTAAGGTCTCCAGCCTCCCCATTTAAAGATAAAGAGAAATATATTCCTATAACCCAGCAGTGGTGAAATTGTTATCCTCTGTACATTGTTTTAACTCCCATCATCCCCTGCCCAGCATGGCCAATGGTAAGGGATGGTGGGAGTTGTAGTCTAGCAACACCTAGAAGCACCACATTGATTCTTGATCTGGAGGAAAACAGGTTCTTTGTCTTTGGTCATCTTTTTTCCTGGGCTTTTTTTTGGGGGTGGGGCTACTGAGTATTGGAAGACAGGAGTGCCTGGTGTGCTCTGGTCCATGGGGTCACGAAGAGTTGGACATGACTAAACGACTAAACAACAACAACAACAACAACTGAGTATTGGCTCTCAGCCCCAGAACCTCTTTGAAATCTTAAGTTCAACCCTATAACATGTGAGCTAATATTCTTTAAAGGGTTATTTTGAACCCTTGTGCAGAGTTCCTTTCCCTCGCCTAAGCTCATTTCTCCCCAACTCTCTCTCTCTCTCTCTCTCACACACACACACACACACACACACACTTTTGGGATTAGTGAGGACTGTCCAGGACAGTCTTGTAAAACAGATCAGACTTGTAAAACAATATTGCAATAAAGGTAAAGGGACCCCTGACCATTAGGTCCAGTTGTGGCCGACTCTGGGGTTGCGGCGCTCATCTCGCTTTATTGGCTGAGGGAGCCAGTGTACAGCTTCCGGGTCATGTGGCCAGCATGACTAAGCCACTTCTGGCGAACCAGAGCAGCGCACGGAAACGCCGTTTACCTTCCTGCTGGAGCGATACCTATTTATCTACTTGCATTTTGACATGCTTTTGAACTGCTGGGTTGGCAGGAGCAGGGACTGAGCAACGGGAGCTCACCCCGTCGCAGGAATTTGAACCGCCAACCTTCTGATCGGCAAGTCCTAGTCTCTGTGGTTTAACGCACAGCGCCACCCGCATCCCTAATATTGCAATAATACAATCATAAAACTTGCTCCGGGCACCTATTCTAAGCAAGAATCCCTTTTAGGCAACTGGATAAGGAAGCTTTAGACGTACTGGAGTATCCCAGTCTCCCAAACCAGAAATCATTGACAAGCCAGGCTAATAACAACTTCCATGGACTATTAACTTTTGGGTCTTTCTCTGAGTATGTGGGAAGAGAAGGCGGCGGCAGCCTCTGAACAATGCATTTCGCCCCTTGCTGAGCAACGGCATCCCTGTACCTTGGCTCAGGGGACTTTCCATTCAGACTGGAGCCCCCAGCACTATTGCATGTTAAGGACCCCGGTGTTTACCCACCACAGCACTGTTGTAAAGGACAGCACTGATGCAGCAGTGCCTGGAGATAATATAGGGGTTGGCTTGTCTCCTGCGTCCTTGTTTCAAGGGACGCTTCCTTGTTCTATCTTTAAATTCAGTACTGCTAAATAAGGAACTGTTTCTCGATAGAAGAAATAGGCGGCATGTCGGGTGGGGTGGGGTGGGGGATAAATTCGATTCCGTTCACATCTCAAGACCGACCTGCTTAATTTGTACTTTCCAAAACAATAAACAGCACAGAATTTGCAGTTCTCCTAATTTTGCAGTGCTGTTCTCCAGACAAGCAATGTCTACCAAAATGCATATGCTAGGGTGGAGTGTGCAGATAAGTGCAAATCCTAGTGAAAACAGCAAAAAAAAATAGTATTATATATTAGGGGAAATCGCTTTGCTGAAAATGGGAATATTAGGAGCTTGCACTAAAAAAGCTGGTGAATTTTCACGAGACTTAAACAATAATTAAATAGCAAAACTGATGTGAAATGTGGAGGGGGAAATTAGAAACCGAGAAAAACCGAAATGGACAGATTTGCCCATCCCTGGTGGCAAGCATAGATGTGAGGGACTTTCTCTCCTCACTTCAGGCCCAGCTTCTGCTGTGTCAGAACAAATAGGCAGGTGGATAAAATAATGGCCTGGAGATCCGAGAGCTTAATTTGAGTCTGGCATCTCCAAGGCTTGGTCCTGGGACGTGGGAAATCATAGACTAAATGAGCATTGAAATGCTTTCTCTTTGTCCTTGAGAGCCACCCACCCAAGCCTGGGCCTCAGCGCCCCTGGATCAGAGGGCTCCTTTTATTTCAAAACAACCCAACAAACCTTGGTCTGCCCGATATTCCCAGTTATATAGAGGTGAGCACTGGTTACACAGTTGTGAAGAAAGAGAAGGCATGTCCCTTCTCTTTACACATGCTTTTGAGTAGTCTTTATTCATTGTTGCTTTTGTTGTTTCTTACACTTGAGCTCAGCTTCTGGGGCAGACTTAAATCATGTGTGTTTTCTTTTTAAAACCTTTGCAATATTATTGTAAGCCACTGATAGGTTATGATTTTTCTTTATAAATATCACGCTTTTCCAGTAAAGGGAATAGCAAGCCCTGAATCCTGCCCGGCCAAACAAGGATATTGAACAACTTCTCCCCACGTTAACCCTTCCAAGGCTTGCTGTCTACCCAGTCCCTGCTTCCCCCACCCAACAGCTGCATTGAAGTTTGGCTTTGTTTATAAAGTTAGGAGATCAAATCAGAGATCTCCTGCGTCACACAAGTAGTTTGGTCCACAACCTCACCCCTCAACACCACCATCCTTCCCCGACTCACTTGAATTCTGGATTTAGATCAGGCTTGAGGCCATAGAAGGAAGAGGAGAGAGTGACCATCCAGTTGGGCAAGAATTTCCCATCTTCACATTCCAGGAAAGGTGGCGACCACTTGATGTGGCTGGTATCCATCACGTAACTATCTCCCTGGCTCCATTTGGGAGTGTCGAGGGTCTTGAGGTCGTTGGTGAGAATCCTCTTGTAGAGCGACGGGGCCCTCTGGAAACGGAAAAAGTTGTACCACTCGTTTTCCCAAGTCAAATTCCTCAAGCTTTCTGCAGAGGCCGAGAGGTCTTGGAGCAAGATCTCATTGTTTTCCTTGGTGGCCTGGAGCATCAGCTGGGGCTTGGAAGACACCGGGTGAGCATCGAAGGTCAACACAGCTCTGTAAACTTGGGGGTCTCCATCCATAACACTTCGGACCAAGGCGTGGTACCACTCAATGTCTTCCTTCACGCTGGACTCCCGGATGTCGTTGGTCTGGAAGACCATGTTGAGGAAATTGGTGGCATGGGCCAGGGTCTCGGTCGCACCGCGCAAGTAGGAACGCAAAGCTGGGGGAGGGCCAGAGGCCTTCCCTGTATCCCTCACCTCAAACCTCCGGGTACAGTTGGCTTGCAAGAGGTGCAACGCCTTTCCAGAGTACAGGAAGGCCGCCGCCGCCTCCGACCCGTCAGGATCTGTTTTATCCAAGTTGGGGGTAGGCACCCAAGTGAAAGTCAAAGCCGAAGAAGAAGGTGAAAGTGAGGAGGGGGAGGAAGAAGAAGGCATCCATTCCTTTGTTTTTGGAGTCCTGGCCTTGGGTGGAGCTGCCCGTTGATACTGAAAGATCCCAGCGGCCCCTAGGAGCTCTAGGTGGAAACACCCAACCAGAAACCCCAACAAGCTGATCTCCATGGTTCGGCAAAAGGACTCGGGAAACAGCAGTCATCCGGCGGGGATCATTTCAGCCATGGGGAAGCCCTCTTGGGAAGTCCCGATGCATCCGGCAGGGTTCTAGAGATCCTCAGGAAGTGGAGGGAGAAAAACCACGAGAAGCAGCGAAGGAAGCCTGCCCATCTCCAAGTGAGGGACATCCCTAAAGGGCATTGGCACACCTGCCAGAGAGTTCTCGGCCTCCTGCTTAGAATTTGCAGGACTTTGACCGCTCTCTTCCCGCCTCTCTTGGCCACTCTCGGTGCCTCGCTCTCTCTTTTGCTTCTGTCCTCCCTGGCTGGTGATGGAGCAGACGTCACTACAATATGAGCAGCTGCTGGCACTGGCTCCCCCCTTCTCCTTTCCCCTCCTCAGCTACTATTATATGCCTGGGCTTTTAAATCTCTGCAGATCTACACGCACACACGCACACATGCACGGTTCTATCAACAGCCTCACTTGCTAATGCTTGGAATGGAGAAATCCTGGGTAAGGCCAGAGAGAGAGAGAGAGAGAGAGAGAGAGAGAGAGAGAGAGACACGAGGGAGGGAGATGGAAAGGGAACAGTGTCTGTCGCTCTCTCTCTCTCTCTCTCTCTCTCTCTCTCTCTCTCTCTCTCGTCTCACTTTAGTTCCATTAGGGGATATAGGTCTGACAGTGATGCAAGCAACCAAATCCTGCATGGAGTGCCATGGCAACGGGAAATTTGTCTTCCCACCTCACCCCTCCCTTTCTCTCCCCTCCCCGCCTTTATTCGTGTCCCCCCCCCTTTCCATTCATCAGCTTGACTAACACCATGATAGTCATTTATAAGGTCACCTACTGCCTACTGATGTTTGTATCATGCTGCTAAATATAATTAACTGTTCAAGCACCAGTGAAGGGTGGTGGAAGCGAAAAGGGTGGAAAACAAGGATGGAGAATTTTCAGACAGGGTGTTCTGTACTGTTGCTTTCTACATGTTGAGATGGAACAGGAGATGTGAGATAGAGGGGGGGCGGAGAGAGAGAGAAATATAGAATGGAGAGGGTGATTTGAAGGAGAGAGAGAGAGAGAAAGAAAGAGAGGCATGGAAGACAATCATGACCTAATCGGAGTCGCAGTTTACTGGGGCTCAGCCCCCAGAACCCCCTTTTTAATCCAGCATCTTGGCTCAGCTCTGGACCACATGGCCTTATAATAAAGAAAAGTACCCCTGAGCATACACAAAGCACATTTTCCTTACCATTGCAACAGAGTGCACTTTACATTCTTGTGGTGTGCTTTTCCATCAGTTGGACATATCATTCTACATTGCTTGTGCTATCACTTTGTCTTATTGTTTTTGCATACAACCCCTTTCTTTAATTGAGGGAAGGTGTGCCTTTATGCTGAGTGTTCACCATGCCTGCTTATCTCTTAACACTGGTTGTCAATTAGTGCTGCTAATTCAATCTTGCTGAATCCTTCTGCTGTTCTCCATGGCCTTTTGCTTTGCAGCGAAACGAATTTTGACTTGACTCACAAATGCCAGAGACAGTCTTAGAAGCTGAGGTATGAAAACTGGGAGCTAAATGGCACCTTAAGCCTAGGTTATGGGCACAATCAAATGTCTAGGCACACTTTTTTTATATATAACAAGAATATGAAACTGAAAATGAATGAACTGCAGCCAAATTATTATGTTCATTTTTCACATGGTCTAGTCCTTCCCCTGCCCACCCCCCTAATATTCTTCTCTTCTCCAGTCTTCAGAGAGTAGCTGGAAGTGGGGAGGCAGAAAAGAAGCCCTCCTTACCTTCCACTCTGAAGTTTTAATCTGAAATCTTAGGCTCAGTACTGCGCCCAGAGCTCAGAAACTGCTTGCGCTATAATAAAATTCCCTGTTGCAAAATGCGCCTAGAACAGGAGTCGGCAAGGTTTACCTCGCCTGGGCTGGATCACTCCAGTGGAGATCCCTCCATGGTCTGGATCATGCGTGCTCGTGAGCACACATGCCCGTGATTTCCAGTGTCTGCATCTATGCAGACGCGATTTTTGGTGTCTGTGTAGACACGATTTTAGGCATCTGCGCATGTGCAGACGCGATTTTCGGCGCCGCAGAAGCGAGTCCCCGCACCATGCTGTGTCGGTTTAGCACAGCATGCGGGGACTCGCCGAGCGGGCAGCTCAGTTTGGGAGCAGCTTGTGGGCCGGTTAAATGACCCACAAGAGGCCCATGGGCCTTAGGCTGCCTACCCCTGGCCTAGAACAATGGGAGTTTCGAACACTGTCTGGAAAAGGTGAAGGACATTTGCCAAGAGGAAGTGTGAGCTGGAAGGCAAAAGACCATGAGAAAGACAGGGCTGACCCTACTTTTGGGTAAGGTGAGGTGCTCTGGGAAGTAGTAATGGCTATTGCCCTCAGTTGGAGGACAGAGTTCTGCTTGCCACTTGGGCTGTCCTGTTGCCCTAAAGTAGTCTGCTGCCATCCCTTATTGAAGTAAGGGAGATGTTTGAAGCAGTGGGAGATGTTATGCTGTCATCCCTTATTGAAGTAAGATTCAACTGCCAGGCCAGGCTGCTTCTATACCTAGAACAGAGGTGGATGGTAGGAATGTAAAAAAGTATTATGTTCCATTTTCCACCCTTGTTGCATGCAGTGCTGTTTCTGTTCCACCACATTTGCCTTCCGCCAACAGCCTTATTACAGTCGTACCTCGGAAGTTGAATGGAATCTGTTCCGGAAGTCTGTTCAACTTCCAAAATGTTTGGAAACCAAAGAACATCTTCTGATTGGCTTCAGGAAGCTCCTGCAGCCAATCAGAAGCCGCGGAAGCCCCGTTGGACGTTCGGCTTCCAAAAATAGTTCGCAAACTGGAACAGTCACTTCCGGGTTTGCGGCATTCGGGAGCCAAAACGTTTGAGAACTAAGCTGTTTCAAAACCAAAGTATGGCTGTATTTGTCTAAGTTATGCAAGTTACATTGCATTCACATTGTTCCACCCCGTTCATTTCAACGCAAAGGACACATGGCATAAATTGGGCAGAGTGGGGGAGAGAAACGTAACCAATTACACGTCATTTGCAGACTGAAATTAGGCAACAACAGCAGTGAATACCATTTACAGTCCCTGGACATGGGATGAAGAACACCCACAATTTCCACTCCCGTTTCTCGAAAGAGAGGAAGAGCTGGAAACGAAACTGTCATTCCCTATTTGTGAATCAGATTGCAAGCAAAGGATTCCCCCTACCCCGCTTCCCTTTAATTCATATTTCAGTTGTATAATTCCTCTAGGGGGCTTTGAAAGCTATTCTGGTTCTGATTATGTTCACTGAAATTAAAATGCCTACGCTGAAAGTTTTGGGGTTTCCCCTTCTCTGTTGTCCACGTTTAGTTCTAACCCTGACTGCATAGACACTTATCCTTATCCTTATCATTATCATTATTATTATTACAAATTGAAAAAAAAGAATGACTTAGTGCACATGGCCCTTATTGGACAGAACTGGTTTTGAAAGCACCTCTTAGAAACTCAACACAGGGGGTTTCCCAGCTCTGAAACCAGGGCCAGCCCCAAGACATCTTGCCACCAGAGGAGAAGGACACGTGGTACTTCCCCACTGTTCTACATACACAAGCTGACCAGAGCCTTACTGCAGCACTGGCGAGGGGGCCAGCGCCCTCCATTACACCTGAGGGCAGCAGGCTGTGTGATGCACACAGTTCTGACCATTCCTTGCCTCTCATCATCTGCCGCCTGAGACAGCTGTCCCACTTTACCAAATGGCAGGGCTGGTCCTGTCTGAAACTACGGATAGCCCCATAACTTGGTTTTAGACAGCAGTGCTGCTTAGGAACGAATCCTGTGGGCATTCAGTAACACCAATGACTTCCGAGGAAAACATCCCTAGGATTGGGTGCAGATTCTTATAAGGGGGAAAAAAACCTACTGAAGTCTTCAAGATTTGCCTGGGAATTGAAAATAATAATTGGGGAGCAATCTGTAGGAGCAAATATTTGATTCTTGATTAGAGTTTGGGCAGCCTTACCATGCTATCCATAACCATCGCCACTCCAAGTAAAAGATTCTGTTCCCCTTTCAGTTTCGGAACAGGAAAGGGTAATATAATAAGCTCGTCAGGGAAGAATCTATTGGGAACATCTCCCAAGCAAACCCGTTGGGAAGAGCAGACTCAAAGATGCTGTGCAGAAATTGCACTGAACATAGTAGAAGGTGGTCCCTGAGGGCAAATGGGGCATTTACCCACTAATCTCAGCCTGCCCTCCCCCAGCCCCCACCCGCCTGCCTTCTCATTTACCCTTGCTTTGGTCTGGGAATCTTAATGAACCGTCTGTGACATCACAGCAGCTCTGCCAACAGCAGAGGCTGCCAGGTGACCAGCTAAAACACATAGGTCGTAAAAGGGTGAAAATATTCTGATGGAATATTATTTCATGATCTGAATAGACTGTTTATGTAGACAAATTGTTTCTGAATAATTTTTCCCTTGGCCCATCATTTAAGGGGCACTTTGGTATAGAATGAATTGTGTTCTCAGTCTGATTCCTGTTGGGAGACAGGAACCTGCCATTCAGTATTACACAAGTGAAACCATGCCAGATCTTCAAGAGATGTCTACGTCTTTGGGGGTCCTTAAAAAAACCACACACAACCCAATACCAGATACCGGAAGACTGTGGAAGTCCAACTTAATGCACAGAGAAAATGCAGATGCCCTTTATAGAGAGCTATAAGGCAAGACTGGAGTGGAGAGGAAGGGAACAAGTCAAGGGTTAAAGTAGAGTCAGGTGGTAGGTAAAGGTAAAGGACCCTTGGACAGTCAAAGGTGACTATGGGGTTGCAGCGCTCATCTCGCTTTCAGGCCAAGGGAGCCGGCGTTTGTCCACAGGTAGCTCTCTGGCTGGCATGACTAAACCGCTTCTGGCGCACCGGAACACCGTGACGGAAACCAGAGCACACAGAAATGCCGTTTACCTTCCCGTCGCAGTGGTACCTATTTATCTACTTGCGCTGGTGTGCTTTCAAACTGCTAGGTTGGCAGGAGCTGGAGCAGAGCAACAGGAGCTCACCCCGTCGCAGGGATTCAAACCGCCGACCTTCCGATCGGCAAGCCCAAGAGGCTCAGTGGTTTAGGCCACAGTGCCACCTGCGTCCTGAGAAGTTGGATGGTAATAGTAGACAGGTCAAGTGACCAGAAGGCTCTCCAGACTGGTGGTGGTGGATTTTTTGCACATGTAAACTGTAACATGTCATTGATACGATAATAGTACACTGGTGGTCAGTGTATTCTGTACTGTCCACACATCATTCTGTTGTTCCCCCAATGTTACTGCTGCGTTTTTGCTGTCTGGAGGGGTCCTCTTGAGCTATGGCGCAACAAAAGTAGGACCGAAAAGATCCCCAGAACAAGAAAAAGTTACCGGATCTCAGCAGGAAGCTCTGAGACATGCACCGAGTAGGGAGTGAAATGCTTTAGAATCCATGATAATAATGTTACCAATCCAAAAGCCTGCCAAACCTATTTGTCAGAAACAAAGGAGGGGGGCACGAATGTGTACACCTCTTTCAATTTGTCTTTAGCCTTCCGAAAATAACAAGCCTCTGTTTCCAGCCAGAGGGGGAACCTCCCCCTCCCCTC